AAATAAATAAATAAATAAATAAATAAATAAGCAATCGCCAGTCTCCACAGATTTAGACCTCCCACCGGGGCGAAAACTGCCCCCCTCCACAAAACCACCCCAGACAGGCACAGGAACGAGACTCCTTTCAACAGCAGAGCCCCCAGAATACTGCACCCCAAATTTTTACAACAACTGGATCCCCTCAATAGTCAAACGCCAACCACGGACAACCCCCAGGACAAAGACCCTCAGCACGGCGACTGGACCCACCTAACCACCAGATTCACAGAGCCCAGCTGGACCCCCCACCTCCCCTACAGCAGATCCCAAGATAACCACCCCTACAGCCGCACGACAGCCGGACCCTCCGTGGACCACCAGGCATCATCTTTGGAGACCTCCAGACCCGCCTTGTGCCCGGGGCCTGACGAGCACGCACAGGTGTTGCCACCCATAGGGCCCCAGGATTAGCTGCTTTGCAGAGGGGTGCCAAGGAGGCCATGCTCTTCCACAACCCTAGCACAGGCCTCAGGCGCCGCAGCAGGAACACTGGGGCGGGCCAGCATGCTGTGCTGTGTGGGGAGCGAGGCGCGCGGGCGGGGCGGCTGCACCGTAGAGAAGTAAAAAGGCAGGACAAGAGGTTTGGAGCCACCGGTAGGAAAAAAAACAACAGGATGAAGGAGCGAGCTTCATGAGGAAGATGGGCTTGCGAGAGGAGAAGCGGGGAGCTTCAGAGGAGAGTGTGCTGGTGGGAAGGAGGTGGGTTTCAGAGGGAAGGTGCGGCTTCAAGGAGTGAGGGCGTCTGTGCTGGTGGAAGGAGGTGGGCTTCAGGAGGAAGGTGGGCTGTGGAGAAAGACGGTGGGCTGTGGGAGGAGGCTGGGCTGTGGAGAAGGTGGCTTTCGGGAGAAGGTGGCTTCAGGGAGGAACGTGGCCGAACTGTGGCGAAGGTGGGCTTCAGGATGAGGAGTGGGCTGTGGGAGAAAGGTGGGCTTTCAGGGGAGGAGGTGGCTTCGAGGGAGAGGAGTGAGGCGTTCAGGGGAAGGAGGTGGGCATGCAGAAGGCGGGCTGTGGGGAGAAGGTGGGCTGTGGGGAGAAGGTGGGCTGCAGGGAGAACACTGGCTTTGTGCAGAAGGCGGGCTGTGGGGAGAAAGCAACTCAGGAGGGCCTTCTCGGATGGAGGCCGCATGGGGGTCTGCAGCCTGGTGCTCCCTCCTCCTTCCTGGGCAGTGCCTGGTGTTCCCCCTTAGGGACCGGGTCAGAGGAAGCCGATGAGCGAGGGGAGAACCTCAGAGAGGGTAGAACCTGTTCTCCCCACCCTGAGAGCAGGGCTTGGATGGGGCAGCAGAGACAGGGACAGGCAAAGACACAGAGAGAGAGACAGAGATTCAGACAGAGACAGAGACCCCCCTGAACCAGAGACCCAGGGAGAGAGAGGGCCAGAGCTACAGAGACATGGGGAGACACAGAGAGAGAAAGAGACAGAGCAGGGAGAGCTCCGAGACAGCGAACAAGACCCAGAGAGAGACAGCGCCGGAGAGAAAGGACAGAGTTGAGAGGGTGGAGGAGACAGAGATGGGGAGACAGAGTCAGAGATAGGGCCTGAGATAGGCAGGGGGGCGGCAGCTGGGTGCGGGGTCCCTGAGTATCTTCCAGCCCCCTGAATGGGCCAGCCCAGCTGGTCATCCACCTGCATGCCGTCCTCACCTGCTCTGGACGCTGTCTCCCCGGTGAGTCCCACGTGAGCCTCATCAGCCGTGTGGAACCTCCCGCGGTGAAGGTAGTCACCGGCGCTTCCGTAAAGGTGACACCCGGGCCCCCAGCCTGCAGCTTGTGGCTTTCCCTCCAGGGGTGTCCCCGCACCTGTGTCTGCCAAGGGAGCAGGTGCTGTGGGCTGCCCCAGACTCAGGGACATCACTGGAGAGCAAACAGCCCCACCAGGAGGGTACAGGGGGAGGGGGACCTGCTTGTCCAGCCCCCGGGAACCCAGCAAGTGGGGTCTGAGCTGGCCACAGCTAGAGTCTCTCATTCCAACCCCCTAAGACCTTTCTAGAAAGATCCAGGGGCAAAGGGAAAGAGACTCTGTCCTTCCTTACATCTGAGGACACTCTCCTGCTCAAACACCCTCTATGGCTCCCCATTGCCTTTCAGATTTTCTAATTCCTGGCCCTGAACTATTCTTGGACAAAGCCTCTCTGTCCAGCCTCTGCATCAGGGGAAACTGAGGCATGGAGTAATTCAGTGGTATGCCCCCAGGAAGAAGTGGAGCTAAGTACTACATGAGTTTTCTAATGAAAGGGCATTCCAGGCAGAGGGGGCAGCAAAGGCCCAGAGGTAAGAGTCATCATGAACCTGTCCCAGGAACCCAACAGGAAGTGGAGGCAGGTGGTCAGAACTGCTGATAGGAAAATTTCTGCAAGTGGTTGCGGGGTTGACCGGACTCCAGGGGCAGAGCGGGAGCCTTGCGATGAGAGAGGAGGCCGAGCCACGCTGCAGATTGGAGGAGAAGACGTGAGATGCGACCCTGAGGCGGGGCTGGAGTTGAGATTCGCCCTGCGGAGTCGCTGAGCGAGCCTAGGCTTGGGAACAGCGGCGCCTGGTGGGCGCTGTGTGGAACTTCACCCTCCTTCATTGGTTGATTCAAGAGATGTTTATTTCTTTTTCTTTCTTTTTTTTCTTTTTTATTCTTCTCTTTTTTTTAATAAATATTTTTGTGGCAGGACTCGCTTTCTCTGTCACCCAGGCTGGAGTGCAGTGACGCCAACACAGCTCACTGCAGCCTCGACCTCCTGGGCTCAAGAGATCCTCCCACTTCAGCCTCCCTAGTAACTGGGATTACAGATGCGTGCCACAACGCCTGGCTAATTTTCTGGTTTGTAGAGATGGGGTCTCGCCATGTTGCCCAGGCTGGTCTCGAACTCCTGGACTCAAACAGTCCTCCCGCCTTGGCCTCCCAAAGTGCTGGGATTACAGGCATGTGCCACCATGGCCAGCCATAAATATTTTTTTTAATTTCAATAGCTTTTGGGGTAAAAGTGGTTTTCTTTTTTTGTTTTTAGTTTGTTTGTTTGTTTGTTTGTTTTCAGATGGAGTTTCACTCTTTTTGCCCAGGCTGGAGTGCAATGGGACGACCTCAGCTCACTGCAACCTCTACCACCCAGGTTCAAGCAATTCTCCTGCCTCAGCCTCCAGATAAGCTGGGACTACAGGCACCTGCCACCATGCTCAGCTAATTATTTTGTGTTTTTAGTAGAAACGGGGTTTCACCATGCTGGCCGGGCTGGTCTCAAACCCCTGACCTCAGGTGATCCACCTGCTTTGACCTCCCAAAGTGCTGGGATTACAAGGGTGAGCCACCACGCCTGGCCTGGTTTTGATTACATGGATGAATTGTTTAGCGGTGAAGTCTGAGATGTTGGTGCACCCATCACCTGGAAATGTACACTGTACCCCATATGTAACCTTTTATCCCTCATCCCCCTCCCAACCTTTCCCACCCCAAGGGCCTGAAGTCCATGATATCATTCTATGTGTTTGCATCCTCATAGCTTAGCTCCCACTTACAAGTGAGAACACATGATATTTGGTTTTCCATTCCAGAATTACTTCACTTAGAATAATGGCCCCTAGCTCCATCCAAATTGCTGCAAAAAAACATTATTTCACTTTTTTCATGGCTGAATAATATTCCATGATTTATATATACCACGTTTTCTTTATCCACTCATTGATTAATGGGCACGCCGGTTAGTTCCATATCTTTGCAATTGTGAGTTGTGCTGCACAAAACATATGCGTGCAGGTGAACATTTATCTCGAGCAGTGTTCCTGGAGTATTTGACACCAGCTGGGATCATTTTTCAATTTCTCCTCTCTATGAAATAGACTCATCTTCAGCAATAATCATGAAATAAATGCAGGTCAGGTGCAGTAGCTCACGCCTGTAATCCCAGCACTTTGGGAGGCTGAGGCAGGCAGATCAACTGAGATCAGGAGTTCGAGACCAGACTGGTCAACATGGCGAAACCCTGTCTCTACTAAAAATGCAAAAATTAGCTGGGTGTGGTGGTGCATGCCTATAATCCCAGCTACTCAGGAGGCTGAGGCAGGGAGAATCCACTTGGAACCAGGAGGCAGAGGTTGCAGCGAGCCAATATCATGCCATTGCACTCCAGCCTGGGCAACAGAGCAAAACCCTGCCAAGAAGAAAGAAAAGAAAAGAAAAGAAAAGAAAAGAAAGGAGGGAGGGAGGGAAAGAAGGAAGGAAGGAAAGAAAGAAGGAAGGAAAGAAAAGAGAGTGAGAAAGAGGAAAGAGAGGAAGGGAAGAAAGAAAGAAGGAAGGGAAGAAGGCAAGGAAGAAAGGAAGAAGAGAAAGAAAGAAAGAAAGAAAGAAAGAAGAAAAGAAAGAAAGAAAGAAGAAAGAAAGAAAGAAAGAAAGAAAGAAAGAAAATGCAGACACTGAAAATTTGGTTAATGTCCAATATAATCATATTTTATGTAAATAATTGTCCAGTAACTAAGGGAACTTTAATAAAACTGAAATATCTGCAAGCAGTGCAATTCCAGCGAGTCATTAAATCAATGGTGTAAAGAATGATGTAAAATAACGTAACATTTTATTTTCTTGCCTCATTCTTTTTAACGTGAAAACAATGAACAAATTTTAAAGCGTAAGTTTCCATTTTAAAGATATCAGTCGAATTCAGCACTAGAGTTCATGTATGAACTAAAATTTACACTTGCAAACAAATATACATAACGGTTTGCAGTGCTCCCCTGGTTTCAATACAAATAAAATCTCCCAGTGGTCACAGTAAAGTACAGAATCGAAGTCATTCAAGTTCTGTGTTTTCATCTTTAAATCATCTTTTATTATTTCTTTCTAATCTAAATTCAGGAAGATGTAGATGTATTATACTATCATGAGGTTTAGAGACACTCAAGCCATTCCAAACCATTGTGTTTCTCCAAATGAAAGTAGATAGTTGAATGATGGTTGCCAGAGGCCAGGAAGGGTAGTGAGGAGGAAGAGGGAGAAGGGATGTTTAATGGGTCCAAAATACAGTTAGAGGCCGGGCACAGTGGTTCACACCTGTGATCCCAGCACTTCAGGAGGCCGGAGAAGGAGGATCACTTGAGGCCAGGAGTTCAAGACCAGCCTGGGAAACATAGTGAGACCCCCATCTCTATTAAGAGTTTAAAAATTAGCCAGGCATGGGGGCACATTCCTGTGGTCCCAGCTACTCAGGAGGCTGAGGTAGGAGGATGG